TCAATTATATTTACGCATTCAATTACACTCCTTTTGCAAGAAGAGGCTCAATTACAATTACAGTTACACCATGACAGTGTAATTTCAATTACATTTTCAATTACAATTACAACTTGATGTCAACAAGATACATTGCAATGCTTACACTGTGGCTTAGAATTTACATCAGGTAGTGATTTGCAGTTATCAAATAAACCAATAGACACTAGTGTACATTAAAAACATTTTTTTGTGTATCTGTACATTCTGTAGTTAGTTAAATCAAATATAACTGAAACTTCAATTTCGTAAGCTGAAGCTCAATTACAGTTACACAACTGTAATTGTAATTGACCATTAAATTATAATTACAATTGTAATTGACCCCAGGTCTGAAAAGATCACATTACAGTAGTTCTTTAAAACTATGGTGATTATCACTAAGTAGCCATTTTTACATCCTAATATTCATTCCAAAATTAATCTACAAATATAATTAGCCAGCCATTAGAAGGACAAAACCCTGTCCACTCCTTGTACAAATACATTGTACTTCTTTTTTACACTGGATGATTCTTAATTACACTGGATCAATCACTTTTCAAGTTTTTTCGCACACTTCAAGAAAAATTTTATTAACAATACTCAAAATCTCTAAAAGTAGGAAATCTCTAAAAGTAAAGTAGGACCATTATGTAGGAAGGAAATAGTGCATTTGAACACTATTTTTGAAATGATGGCGGTAAAATCATGGTGGTATCAAAAGTAAACTTAATCATGGTGGTATCAAAAGTAAACTTAATCATGGTGGTATCAAAAGTCAGACACTCCTTAAAACATTATCTATTAGGCTGGAGATTGCCCAAATAGGCACAACAGAAGTAACTAGTTTTGAGTCAAAATGCATGCAATTTCTGCTTAATTAATGTACTTTAAATGTATTTTAAATAGGTTCTCACTAAAAATTATTGAAGAAGAACTTACATGCACAACAGGCAATGGTACATCGACTCTAGAAACAGTGACACAGGAATCACAATCTTTTAATTTCTTTTCTCTTCTCTAACAAAGGAAAGAAATAATAAAATAGCAAAGATAAGTTTCTCAACAACTGCAACACTCTTGGCTAAAAATAAACCATTACAGATTGCACTAGAGACCTTTGCATAACAAACAGGGTGCTTATATAAGATATCATTAAATAAAAGAAATCTATGATTATAGAGGGTAAAAAATAGTGCTATTTCTTTCCTACATAATGGTGTGACTAGGCACATTATACACATTATACAATTTGACCTATCTATATAGGCAGAAATTAGTGCCAAGCACTATTTTGTCCCCAAAATACTATAAGGAAGAATTAGTGCCTGGCTGCCTGCTGCACTATTTTGTCCCTACAATACTATAGGGAAGAATCAGTGCATTCTGCACTATTTTGTCCTACAATATAGAATTAGTGCGTTGTGCAATTTTTTGTCACAATTAAAGTATATGGGGGCAAAATAGTGCAGCAAGCACTAATTTGTCCTTATAGTACTTTAGGGAAGAATTAGTGCTTGCTGCACTTTTTTGTCCCTACAATATTACAGGTAAGAATTAGTGACAGCTGCACTATTTTACCCCTATTTAATTTGGGGGAATTTATTTCTAAAACAAAATACATGATATTCACATAATTATACATTTGCCAAGGCCATATCTATAAAGATGAGTTTGATTTGATAGAGGGAGATGTGTTTAAAATAATTTCAATGGCATGATGATGCTTTTGAAATTACTGAGATTATTTATCATTCAATTTGTGAAGAACCTAAATAACTCCGTTTTTTATGGTCTACATGTGTACTACCATAATTATAGTATCACTATCATTGAAAAATAAGTAACTGATTTTAAATTTTACTTTTTGTTAATTTAAAGACTTTAATATATGTCATGCATTGTATATTATTTGTACTAAAACAAAAGGCACTCATGTCTTTAAAAAGTGCTAAACAGATAATGAAATGGTGTGAAGTGACATTACAATAGTCAAAGGAAGGGATAGTTTTGTGGCTAGAAAAGGAACATGGAGTTATGTCTTTGCTACAGGAGAATGATTCTACAATGTTGATACTTTACCATCTTTTTCTATTCAAGATACCATCCTTAATAAATGCTAGGAAGAATTTGACAACTGCAGTGACAATTGTGAAGACCGTAAACTGCCAAATTGTGTGAAGTGTTCATCATTGAGACATAAAAATGTTAACAGAAGTGGCCACAATATAAAACCTTTTAACAATAAAGCCATAGATAGCTGCTTTGAATGTATTTATAATTATTGAATTTTGTGATTTTTAAAA